ACTCACACATTTTTATTTCATTACCCTGGGCGCAGAACCCACAAGGCAATTTTCTAGGCTTGATTACAGTGCGCTACAGGATTGATGCTGATTTATTTTCTTTTATAATGTTAATCTTTTATAATCTTAATTTCCTAATTTTCGACAATAAAACCGATCCCAACCGTGCTCGTGTCCAGTTCTTCTAATCGATATCAAGCAGTTGCGTAGGGAATGTTTATTATTGATGGTTCAGAAGTAACAGATCAAGGGGTGGCAAAGTCGGGCCCTACTCACCTCAATTTATTAATAAAAATACATTTTCAGTGTCATAATTACAAATTTCGTTTGTTTTCAACTGCCGAGTAATGTGATATTTTCAAAGACAAATTCTCACCAAAGATATGTCCCACTCGTATGTTGGCTTAATCTTAAAATTGGCTCACCCCAACGATGCAAAAATGCGTTGCAACTGCCGCACTTTTTGTGAAAGGTTGATCAATCACTGGCCACACAGGTCTGCCCGAAATATACAAGCACCAAAATGATAAAACAATCCCTGTAGTTGTTAGAACATCGAGAATCCAATTGATTTTAAATCAGTCAAACTTTTGCCTTTACCCCATTCTCGCCGCAAAAGCTGCATACAAAATCTGTATATCACGCCGGCGCAAAGCCCCTCAGTTTTCAACCCACGGTAACCCACGTTACATTTGTGACCCAGTACATCGTGATTAGGAATAAGTCGCCGAGGCCGTTTCACGTAATGGCTGTGTAAAGTGGGGATATGGCCACATGTTAAAAAAAACGATTTTGTGGTTTCTCTATATTTTAAAAGTTTATGTATGAAAGGTTACCATCAACACACTTGTAATATGTACCATTTGAAAGCCTATAAAATTCTTTTTCTGACCATGTACAAATCTCAAAAAGTCAATTTGCGACTTATTCCTGATTTTCGATGCATCGGGTCACATTTGAATTTGATCTGACTGAAACTTAATGTTGTCATTTTTGTCAATCCGTACCTCACGTTGGCCACAAGTTTAATATCGGTGTTCGAGTTACAAAAATGGCAAGGCAAAAGTCACCATTACTTAGTCAAGTATATGTCCCTTTTCGAACTCAAATAGAATACTATCAAAATGTACCTGTCATTTCTCAAAAGTTTCTAAAAATCAAACACAGGTATTGACCATTCTGTATTTCCCTAGTAGCTGTGCATGAAAACGGCATGATGCAACGATGTCTTTGGAGTGGCCGTAAAATTACGCAAGAACTTCAGTGAAAACAAAGCAAAAATCATTTCTCTTAACAAACGCCAAATTAGTAATTCGGATTTCCACTCATAACCAGTCTACACGGGTTATTCATGCACAGTCATGAATGAAAGCCCTAGAATTGGCAGGTGTCCATTCAAAGCCATAGATTAAACTGTAACTGTATTTTCAAAATGTAGTTTGCTTTTTTAAATGTGGTTTTGGATGTGTGCCTTTTCTCCCTAAAAAAGTGCCAAAAACTAATGATACAGGGCGCCCTCGGGGATAGACAGGTGTTTTCTGACCGATCGTTTTGAAACTGTGTGTATGGAATAGCATTCATTTAACTCTGTGACTGTCTGTTCAGTTTCAATCAGTTCGACATTTGGCTGGGTTTTGTTATTGTCACTTAAAGTGAATATCCAGAGATAGTTTGTCCCTGTTTAGTATATGAAAAAGGTTAAAATTTTTGGCTGTTAAGACCGGGGAAATTGAATGGACATTTTGCGAGAACAGCTGGTCCAATTTGCATAAATATGGTGTCAGTTGTCAAAATGAGTAATTATGAGAAATCACTGGAAAACTCCTGAAGGTTCGGAGAAAAAGAAGTACATTTCAGAGACATCGGAGAAAATGTCGGGGATGGGGGCTTTGATTCCGCCCACCCTGATATAATTAATGGCGAAGGGTTTAGATGTTGCTTTCAGCCATCGGGGTGGTGGAGGTAGATTGGGGATGGTAAGCTGACATAAGCTTTTTACCAAACCTTCAGAGTTGTTGTTTATTTGTTTTTTTCATTTCAGAAAGTTACTATATAAAGCTGATCCTTCAGTTGACAACAACGCATCACCCGCTTGTCATTCCGCCGAGGATGCCCGTGAATGTCACTTACGGTCTTGACCTCAGCAGCATTGACAGTGTGGTACGACCGACACACAAGTTAATTTCTGATGGAGAAAACTCTACACCCCGAAAACGGGGGAGGGGTTTAGAAAAAAGAAAAAGGGGATATATATAAAAATATCAATGAACAATTTAAAAGCATTTGGCTGAATAGCTTGATATTAAATTAATTGAAACTGTAAGCGTGTAAATTTTCCATTGTTGGATTTTCATGATGATCGGGAAAGCAGTAGCGTGATTCAGTTCCCCCCTTGCCCTCGATTCGAATGTATCCCCGTGTTAATAAAGCACTACAGAGATCAAAAGTTTTTGTTTCAGTACAACGATTAGCGAAAACTCTCAGATTGATACTTCTTGTTATTTTCAGAACGAGAAGGAAAACATCATGCGGATCTCAGTTTATGCAGAAATGGCAAGTATTTACACCACAAGCCAGTAAAAAGAAAGTGGACTCTCGCATACGTCATGCGGTATTCCGATCAGTCGATGAATAATTCATGTTGATAACTTCCAATGTCATGGCTCACGCATTTCTAATTCAATATGCGCAGAGTACCTCAAGATGTAGCCCTAGACAGTCGATGCTGAATCAGTCTTACTGTCTGTTTTATATCTAAGTACAAGAACTGTCACAGTCACTCCGGCGACCTGCCCTTTCGTAGAACTTCCCGACTTCTTTTGTCAAAACGCCGGGGGGCTCGACAGGCACACTTGGAATTGGTGACAAATCCTCACCAATTACTTGCTCGGCAGGCACACTTGTAAATGGTAACAAATCCTCACCATTTACTTGGTTAGCTAAAGCTTGTGGCAGCATATAGCCTGTTTCTCATGATGGCGGTAAGCTTGTTCCAACATTTTCAGTTGGCACATTCGCCTTTCCTACGGAAAGTAAGTGATCAACATGGCAGTGTCGGAGTTTTTCTCCGATCTTCACTTGGTAGCCTAAGTCAAAGGACCCAACCTTTTTGCAACGACACCTCTGACATGTTTTTTCTCTCTTCTAATTTTGAACCATAACTTTCTCTCCCTGAGCAATTTTTCTTATTTTCATACTATGGGTATCATGAGTAGCCTGGTTTTGTTTTGTCGTTCACGTGCCTTCGCAAGGACATCTAGTTTCAACAAACTGAATCTGGTTCTAGGAGCAAGCGTAAACAGCAATTCATTTGGTGAAGAGTCTGTCGAAGACTGAGGAGTAATGCGATATGACAACAAGAAATTGTCTAGTCGATGACGAATCGAGCCTTAGAATTCTTCCCCAAACCATCCTCAACTAGATATTTCTCCAGTGCTCTCTTTACAATTTGAACACTTCTCTTGGCTGCACCGTTCAATGCAGTATGGTATAGGGTGGGACCAAAGTATGCTGGATTCCATTTTTGCCAAAGAACAGCCGAAACTCCTCTGCTGTAAAGTGTGGTCCATTACGAGACACTGACTCTGCAGGTGAGCCAAAATTGCAAACCACCCCCCTCAATACTTCAACAGTCTTCGCACTAGTTGTACTACATTCAACATTGATCAGATCATGTTTCCCTTCAAGCTCGTGCGCGTGGAGAAGTTGGCAAGAGAAGCAATTTGTAACACCCCCAAGACTTGTAGATATCTTTGACAGCTCATTTCTTGAGATAAAAGTTGCTTTTTAGAATATGAGATATGCCTCCTATATGTTAATTCGAGTAAATTGATAGGCTATAAGCTTTCTATACGCTGTACACGTACAGTGTATATTGTCAAATGAAAAAGGCACTATTTCTGATTCTTCATAGAGTTTATTTGCAGATTATCCTGTTATTCGTTTAAGAACGAAAAACAAGTGATCGTCGTTTTCGTGATTAAGAGTAGAAAACGTGCTTTCCATTGTTTAGTTCTTCGTTTTCTAAAAGGAAAAACGAGAAAACGCTTTTGTGTCGATTTTTCGTTGGTTTTCATGTTCAAACGAAAAACGATAAGATTTCGCTGCTCGGTTTTTTTTTTAATTTTATATCCTCGCCAGAAAATGTAGGCAGCAAATTAAACGACCGATTTCGCATTTACAGAAATGGGTTGACCCGCGTGCCCAATGGGAGCCATCCAACTTCGGTGGAATTGTGTTCATGGATGTACCACCAGACAAACTCTGGTACCCTGACATTAGACCCCATGCTCAGTGAGTACATGTACATTGTTTATATTGAATATGTGTGACCATGGGTACGCCCATGGGCTGCACTAATTTAAGGCTACCCTTTGACCACCTACAATTTCATGATGAAAGTACATCGTTTTCAGAATAATTTTACATGTATTTAACTCCCGCACTCTTGCTGTAACTTATATTTCACGTGCGTAAGATAGTTTTGAGAATGTTATGGCGCGAAGGTTATCAATGTGTTTTTCATTTCCATGAAAAAACTTTAATTTTCTGTTACTCTTATTTTCAGTTAGTTTTTTCTTACTTATCTAAATGATACCACAGTGGCACAGCGCCCCAATTACTTGGAAAATCAAGGACAAGTTAAAATTGTTAATTTAAGAAATTGCACTTGTCAATAAACTTAATCTTAAAGAGATATCGAATAATTTCCTATATTGGAGAAGAGTATAAAAATGCACAAAAAACAGTGTCTGAGAAAAATTAATTCTATGGACCATTTAGCCCTCAAATAACTGGGCTATTTTTGACCATCTCACAGCCGGATACCTGATAGTTTTGATTGCGATTGCAGCCCCCTCCTCCCAGTCGGGTAACTTTTGATGCTGAAGCATCATTAAATTAAATGAATAAAGACTTTTGCCGGAAATTATATCAGTTTTTGCTCATGATCGTTGAAATTTTTATTGGCATAAAAAACACAATGTCCTGTAAATGCCTTTACTATTTTCTCCCTTGATGTAGAATTTTGGAGAAGGAAGAAGTTAGCTTGCGTGTCCATTTTGACGGGACCATCTATCACTACCCTCAGATGCGACTGGCCGTCCCATGCGCTATGCACTTCGCTTACTACCCATTCGACACTCAAAGGTGCACCCTTAACGTGGAATCCTGGAAGCACGACGCCTCTGTAATCAACCTCACCCTCCCTGAGGGACCGTTGGAGATTAGACCTACTGTGACAAAAGTCTTGCCCAACCCTGAGTGGCAAGTACAGGAATTCACGGCGGCCCGACATGAGGACAAGTATCCTTGCTGCAACGGACTTTACCACAGTCTGGCATTCAGCATGATCGTGAAACGCCAGGCTCAGGAGTACACAGTTCGCGTACTGGCGCCCTCTGTTGTCACCTCTCTCCTCATCCTGCTGTGTTTCCTCATCCCTCCTCACTGTGGCGAGAGAATCCTCTTTGTCTCCATCTTGCTCCTCTGCATTCTCCTCCAGCTCTTCCAACTCAACCTCACCGTACCCATCCGTGGCCCAGATGCACCCTATCTTGCTGACTTCCTCTGCTTTAGCGTTTTCTTGGCCTTCTTCGCAGTTGTCGAGAGTGTCTTGTCCCTAAACCTGTCTCGTGGTGTACGGGGGAACAGCAACGGGGAGGAGTTTATAACACAGACCAAAACCAATATGGTAGGTTACCTCGTTACAAAAATGTTCTTTCTGTGAACGGACGTTGCGAGTAAATCAAGAATTATTGATATAAAATACAGTTTATTTAACCTGCAAATCACAATCCGAAATTTTAAATTATTCACACTGGAGAACTTTTATATGTATTTAGAAACAACAATATGGGATTCATTCACCAGTTATTTTGATTTTCCGACGCTGCTAAGCGCCGATATCCGGCAGGTAATCAGGAAAATAATAGCGAAAGTTAATGTCTATCGTATGCTAATCGTTTTTATGCATTTGAGATTTCAACTCTAACGCAGACTTCCAACACCATCCACTTTTTTCCACATACAGGGAATGACGCGAATCGCTCGCTTCATCGATATTGGCTGCTTCATGGTCTTCACCTTCATCTTTGCTGTCGCTGGGGGCGTCATCCTCAATCCAAACACCGAGTTCAAATGACTTTTCTCACGATTCCTTTTAAACTGAGAGCTACAATCCACAGTTGCTTTTATATTGTTTCAACGTTGGTTTGACCCAAAATCATTAATCCAGCATACGAGTGGGATGTATCTTCTAAGATGTTATGTTGTGTGGCGGATCTGATCTGTGGTAGTGTTCTTCAGCCACATTGCTCTGTGAAGAGAGCCTCTTTACAGCAAATTCCTTCTCTGTAAATAAAATTATGTAGTTGAAAAGTGAGCACTTTCCCTGTCATATTATAATTCATTTTTAACATATGGACCTTAAATTGTATTTTGTGTTGTGTGAAATGTTGATATGAATACATTAGTAGTAAGCTTGCATTTTCTCATCAGTCAATATTTTGTACAGTCCAGTGTTACATTGAGGCTTTCTTCCTGCGCCTGGTACATGATCACAACTGTTGTGCTCACCAATATGGAAATACTCGTTAGCATAAAAACAACAAAGGCAATAAAACGCCCTATCAACGTCTTGGAACAATAGTTGAAAATAAGTTTACATTAAAACAAATTGATTGAAGCTATCTTTAAATGAAATGTTGCAAATTCAGATTGTCAAAATGTAACTTGGATAAAGATGCTAAATGGTCGTCGATGAATATTCAAACTTTACTTATCATGTGATCACGTCATCGTTTATGCCATTTCACACAATATCGTGAGATATGTAGATCGCGGCGATCATGAGATTGCAGGGCACGCATTTTTTTAATGTGCTTTGATTTATTTGGACATACTCTGAGCTACTTTTGAAAAAGAAAACAATAAGCTCGAAACACAGTCAAACAGTGGTAGTATTCTCTATGTACTGGGGTTTAATTAAGTCGGCGAAATGAACTCTTGCAGTGCACGACAGATTCAAATGTACATGAAAGTTTTGTTAAAATGTATTTTATCTTCATTTATATTTTAACCTCAATGCATGAGGCTTTTCCCCCATTCAGCCCGAATGGCTGAAACTGTGCTCATACTGTGGGGTCCACATAAAATCCTGTGTGTATTATCGTTCTAAAACCCGTTCTAGAAATTGGGTTATATTTTGTTTATACTAGCATTTGAATATAGAATACCGTCTGGAGAACATGGGTCAGCCCATGTGTGCATTGCTTCAAACCACACATTCAAAAGAGAGAGAGAGCTTTAAACAGATTTCCTCATTTTATGTGAAAATAACCTTTCGGGGGGTGTCACTACATTAACAGGTCTGTAGTGCTTATAAACAGCCATTAATACTCAGTTTCCCCTTTAGGGGCAAAAAAAAAACATAAAAAAACAGGTTAAAGAATGCGTTTTTAACTTGACATGAGATGCCCCGACATCTTCCCGATTCAAATATTTAAAAGCGAAATGCCTCCAAAAGTATTTTACACATTTTATGTGAAAATATGAATTTTTAGAAAAGCGAACCCTAAAACAAACAAACGCCTTATTTTGCCTTATACTAAACACTAATAAGAACAAATCCATGAAAGTGGGATGTCACGACATCATCCCAAATCAAATACTTAAAAAGAAATTCAAACCTGTTTCCTGATGCTGTGACACAAATCACTTTTAGGACTCAGGGCCCAGCGAACGCTATTTTGAGGGCACAAAATGGACCACCAATGTTTAAAAATCCACGAAATTTGACGTGTGATGTCGCAACATCATTTCCAACCACATACTTAAATAGGAAAGTCCTTCCAACCAGTTTCTTGATGTTATGTCAAAATATCACTATTACCGCCCAGGGCACTGCACACACTAACCCTAACCCAGAGACAGTTGTTTATTTACACAAAATTGAAAACCAATTAGTAGAATTGCATCAAACTTGATGTGTGGTGTCACGACATCACCCCTAAACAAAAACTTTAAAAAATAACAAGGAAAGTCCTTCATAGGTGTTTCTTGATGTTATGGCAAAAATTTACTCTTAGGGCTCCGAGCTTCGCAAACCCTAACCCTAACGGTAACCCTAACCCTGACCCAAAAAAGGTTTTTGTTTACACAAGATTGAAAACCAATTTGTAGAAGTCCACCAAACTTGATGTCAGATGTCGCAACATCATACTTAACAAGGAAAGTCCTAGAAACTCATTTCTTGATGTTTTGTCAAAAATTCACTTTTAGGGCTCGGGGCTCTGCAAACCCTAACCCTAACGCTAACCCAAACCGAAGCAGGCTTTTTGTTTACACAAGACTGAAAACCAATTTGTAGAATTCCACCAAACTTGATGTCAGATGTCGGAACATCATACTTGACAGGGACAGTCCTTCAAACATGTCCTGGTGTTATGTAAAAAATTCAATTTTAGGGTTTAGGGCTCTGCTAACCCTAACATTAACGTAACCCTAACCCTAACTGTAAATCCCCACCCAGATATGAACGATGGAAAGTCTTTCAATCCTGTGTTTTGATGCCTAGGTAAAAAAAAAATCACTACTGAGGTTCAGAGCACTGCAAACTCGAACTATACCCGAAGGCGGTTTCAGGGGACGCAAAATTGACAATGCAGTGACATTTAGTAACTCGAATACCCTTATTAAAATTATGGTCAATCAGCCACGGATTAACTAAAATGATAACATTAAGTTTCAGTCGGATCAACGGTATTAACGTGGGTTACCGTGGAGGGAAAACTGAATGGGTCCTGCCCAATTATATCTACTTTTGACGGTGGGAACCAACATCTTTACTGAACTGACATCCATTCAGTTTTCGATGTCGTCTTCTGAAATTCCAGAAACTAAGGATTGATCGTTTGTTTAGAGTTTGTTTCATTATTTTCGAGCTTCTATTTTTCGGGTAGACCTGTCTGGTCAAGGATGGATGAATCATTCACAAAAAAGCGTGGCAGTTGCAACGTATTTGTTGCAAACTTGGGGTGACCCAAGAAGATTATCCAACATATGAGTGGGACGTGTCTTTTGTGAGAATTTCACTTTGAAAATTATCACAATTATTTGGCAGTTGAAATATTTAATGTAACGAAAATTGAAAATGTACCTATCAATAAAATAAGGAAGCGAGTGCCGCCCGACAGTGCCACCCCTGGATCTGTTAATTCTGAACCATCTTCTAAAAAACGTTCCCTAGATACAACACTGCTTTTTATACTGAAATCACTGAGAAGAAATGGACCCAAACACGGTTGGGAACTACGTTATAGTCGGAAATTAAGATTATATTTGAAAATAAATCAGCATCAATCTCATTAAGCCTAAAAAATGCCTTGTGGGTTCTGCGCCCAGGGTAATGAAACAAAAATGTGGTGAGT